TTTTGAGACAGGGTCTCCCTGTAGTCCCAGCTGTCCTGGAACTTACTATGTAGACCAGGCTGGCCTTGAACTCACAGAGATCCACCTACCTTTGCCTCCCAAGTTCTGGGAATAAAGGCATGCGGCCACCATGCCTGTCCGGATAAATGATTTTTTAAAAAACTTCTAAAAGATAATACAGGAAAGCAGGGCTATAGTCTAATGGTAGAACATTTGCCAAGCATGCTTAAGAGCTGTTGTCTGATTCCTAGACCTACAAAAATATCATGAGAGAAAACCTACATATAACACTGAGGTGGAGATAAGCTTTTACATAAAAATAAAAGCATGACCTCTTAAAAGAAAAAAACAGATTTTATTAAGAAATCTTGCTCAACAGAAAGATACTGTTAAGAATGAAAGAAAAGCCACAGACTGGGAAAAAAAATATTTACAAAACACATATCTGACAAAGGATTTATATTGAAAATACAAAATGAATACTTAAAAATTGAAAAAAAAAATTTTTTTGTCTTTTTGAGACATGGTCTCTCTGTAGTCCCAGTTGTCTTGGAACTCACTATGTAGACCAGGGTGGCCTTAAACTCACAGAAAACCACCTGCCTCTGCCTCCCAAGTGCTGGGATTAAAAGCATGCACCACCATGCCCACCTCAAGATAACCTAATTTTTAAAAGGGACAAGATGTGAACACTTGACCAATAAGGTGTCTAGATGGTAATTAAGCATGTGTGCATACATACGTAGGGTTTTAAAAGATTTTATTTATCATCTTATGTATGAATGTTTTTATGTATGTGTACCACGTGCATGCATCAAATCCCTGAACTGAAGTTATAGGTGGTTATTGGCCACCACGTATGTGCTGGGAACTGAACACCGGTCTTGTGCAAGTGCACTTAACTACCAAGTCATCTCTCCAGTTTATTGTTTTATTAGGTTTTCTTTGTTGTTGTTTGGTTGGTTATTGGCTACTGGAGATTAAATCAAGGGCCTTGTATATTCTAGGTAAGCACTCCACAAATCAGCTAAATCTTTAGTCTACTACCTAGCTTTTATTAAAAATTTTTTCATGTATTTTTAATTTTTATTTATACATATCTGTGTGTGTCTCTGTGTATATGCCATGCCTGCCAGAAGGTGCCAGGTCCCCTAGAGCTGGAGTTGCAGGAAGTTATGAACAGCCTGATATGGGTGCTGGGAACCAAACTCAGGTCTTCTAGAAGAGCAGCAAGTGTTCTTAACCACTTAGTGATCTCTCTAGCCCCAAATAATATATTTTACCAGGAACAGAAGAAAAGTAGTGATGACGTACAAAATATAAAATCCATTAAAATTCAAGACATGTAAGGTAGAATGACCTTTTTTCTAAATTGACTATCCAAATGATAAAGAATGAAATTAAGTTCCTACTTCACACTATATATATTAAAAAAAAAAAAAAAAAAAAAAAGATATGCCCCCCTCCCTGTCTCTCCCAAACTCAGTATGAAGCAGCTAAATGTGGCCTTGAACATCTTACTCTCCTGACACACCTCCAGCATGCTAGAATTACGGATGTATGCCAACATGCCCAATTTATGAGGTGCTGGGGACTGAACTCAAAGTTTCTATACAAGCAAGGCAAGCACTCTACCAAGCAAACTACAGTCCCAGCCACTTGTCTAGAACTTTTGATTCTTCTATCTCAGCCTCTCCAATGTTAAGATTGCAGATACACACCCCACCCTCTCCCAGCTTAGATGAAACACTTTCCAAGACTCAGTAATCCCAAGGAATTAAAGGCTTAACTTCTAAGTACTTATCCTAGATAAATCATATGCTTGACAAAACATTTATATTCATGTAGCAAATAATACTATTTGAAAATGAGAAAAGATAGAAAATCCTACGTATTAAATAAGGGAACAAACAGACTGTGGTCTATTCTACATCATGAAAATATACATGGCAATTAGAATACATCTTCCAGGCCAGCAAGATGATGCAGCAGGTAAAGGTTCTGGCCTTGAAAGTCTGGTGCCTGAATTTGATCTCTAGAACTTGTCAAGGAGGAAGAATCAACTCCATAAAGTGATCCTCTGACCTCCACACGTGTGACAACACACTCACGCACCACACAAATTTTTTTAAAAGAATTTTTTGGCTTAATGTAGGCCCAGAAAAACAATAAAATTAAATTTGGTTATCAATATAGCACCTATAAATGACTTTTTAAAAGAATGCTCACATAGGGAGCTGGAAAGGTGACTCAGTAGTTAAAAGCACTGGCTGCTCTTGCAGAGGACCAGGTTTGGTTCCAAGCATTCACATAGTAGCTAATAACCATCTGTAACTCCAGTTCCAGGAAATCTAATGTCCTCTTCTGTCCTCTGCCAGGTACCTGGTACACAAATGGTATACATACATACATGCAGACAAAACACTCATACACATAAATAATAAAGTGCTCACATAGGAAACACAGCATACCTATTTCATCTATAAAGATGATGGAAGGTTGTAGCTTTATGGCAAGGGAGAAAACAGCAGCAGCCAATTTCTGAGATTCTCCATACCACTTATCAGTCAGTGTTGAAGGCTGAAGGTTAATAAATCGACAGCCTGCTTCTTTGGCTGTAGCTTTGGCAATCAATGTTTTCCCACAGCCCGGAGGCCCATACAGAAGAACACCTAGAAATCAATGTTATTTTATTATTATCTTTAAGAAAATGAGAGGTTTGCTTTATTTAAGACTTCTATGGTAATCAAGATAGTATTAATTCAACCCCCACTAAAACTGTCCCAAAATTCAATTCCTCTATTAGTTTTTGATGGTGGAAAAATAGCAAAAAGAATGGTATCCTATTTAGCGCAATGTCAGCAAGGGTAAGTATTTGGAGATTACAGAAGCCTTCTGCTTTCTCCCTTCATGAAAAGGTCCAGTTCAGGACAAAAAATAACGATCATTCTGACATTCAAATTCACAATTCTGTCACTAATTTACCAATAAAGCAATCTAATGCCTTCTACACCTTCATAACTTAAAGGTAACATGCAACGTCCAAGTAGACTGTGGCAAACATAGTTTGCTCATAGTTTGTTTTACTCAAGAATATATATGCCTTTTTCCAAACAATTAGTCATTTTTTCTTAAAAGGAACAGAAATATCAGCTATCTCTGTTTTAGTTTCCAAAAGATAAAACTGTTATTCACCTGTAATCTCTATTGACAGCAATTTGCTGCTAAATACAAACCACTGAATTTAAGACTTTTTACAAAAAACTTTTAAAAAAAACATTTATTTTTATTTTATGTGTATGAGTGTATTGCCTGCATGTAGGTAAGTCCACCCTTGTCGTGCAATGCCTACAAAGAACAGAAGAGGCTTTCAGATCCCCTGGAACTGGAGTTACAGACAGTTGTTAGCTGTCATGTTGGTATTGGGATTCGAACTCGGGTCTTCTGCAAGAACAGTCAGTGTTCTTAACCACTAAGCCACCTCTCCAGCCCCCATTCATTAGACTTTTAAAATGACAATTAGACAATTATAGAGAGTATATGCTGGGATAAACTGAAGGCTATTTTGTGGTATCCAATGTTGCCTTAAAATGGAACAAAAATAAAATCCAAAACAAGGGAAAAATGTTTTTGATAAATTTGTGCCCACAAAAAAATTTAATTTTTTTTGGTCTTTTTGTAACGGGATATCCCTGTAGCACCAGCTAGCCTAGAACTCACTTTGTAGACCAGGCTGACCTTGACCTCACAGAGATCTGCCTGTCTCTGTCTTCTGAGTGCTGGCATTAAAGGTGTGTGCCACCACGCCTGGCCCATAAATTTAAATATTTTAAATAATAAACTTGAACTTGAACTTGGGGGCTGGAGAGATGGCTGAGTGGTTAAAAGCACTGGCTGTTCTTGTGGAGGACCCACCCAGGTTCAATTCCCAGCACCCACATGGTAGTTAACAAGTATCCATAACTCCAGTTCCAAGGGATCAACTGCACTCTTCTGACCTCCACAGGCATTGCACAATCAGGTACATTTATGTAAATTCAGGAAACATACTCATACACATAAAATAAAAACAAATAAAATACAAAAATAAATTTTAAAAAATTTTAAAGTATTTGAACTTATTTCCATAAATTTCTGTTCACTTCAAAATAACAATCAAAATTTTCCTTAGATTTTTTCCCCACTGGTCTTAATCTTTTTTAAGATTAAAGTTACATTATCGCAGGGCGTGGACTACCATGACTTTAGTCCCAGCACTAGGGAGGCAGAGGCAGGCGGATCTCTGTGAGTTCAAGGTCAGCCTGATCTATATAGCAAGTTCCGGGCCAGCTGGGGCTACAGGGAGACCCTGTTTCAAAAAGACCCCCCTAAAAAAAGAAGTTGTATTATCAATCAATCAATCAACCCAAGTTAATCATCTTAAGCTTTCTAAAGCCAATTATAAAATTTAAATCTATAAGCTTTGTCAGTACATATTAATGTTTTCAAGCAAGTTTTGCCATTTTTTTCCTAAAAGGTTCTTGCTAGGTAACTCAGACTAGCCTCAAACTCACCCTCTTCTTGTCTCAGCCTCTTTAGAATGCTGGAATTGCAGGCAGAAGCCACCATGCCTAGCTCTTCCTTGAAATTTTTAATTAAGTTGTTAGGTGTTTAAAATGTCTACTGACATTTTTCTTTTGCGTGGCTATATAAAGAATAGATGTCTAATGTTATTCAGTTTAAAGCTGAAAATACAAGGATGACTATAGGTTTTGAATCACACAACAGAGAATGCATATCCACTAGCAGCAAACAGAAAAATACCTATTTACACTCCTATTTAAATCTCAGTGATTTTAGAACAAAGTGTTGACAAAGAAGTCTACTCCATATGCTTTTCAGCTACACCTTTACTTCATAAGATATGCAGTACTTTTAGAGTATCTGATTTGCTTCAAAGCCTTCATCTATCACTTTGAATATTTTACTCTTAGTGGTTTAGCTGTGCGTTCTTAGCAGATTAAGATTTTCAATAATTTCTCTTCACAGACTATAATTAGTATTATTATCTATGCAATTAATGTAAGGAGTTTCTGTTACTAAGACATAACAAAAAAATATTTAATGTTTATGTCTAAGGAAAAATGTGCAATGAAAGCTTTTTTTATGTTTTATTTTTACAAGTGTTTTGATTTGTCTGTATGTATGTGTGGAGCGCCTGTGACGGCAGGAAGAGGGTGACAAAACCACCATGTGGGTGCTAGGAATTGAATCCAGGTCCTCTAGAAGAACAAGAGCTCTGTGAGTCACCTCTCCAGCCCCATGCAATGAAAGCTTTTAAGTCTCATAATCTTCTGGGAAACAGAAATATAAGTATCAATGTCTCACTTCTTTTTAAAACTTTATTTTTATGTGTATGAGTGTTTTGCCTTCATGTATGTAAGTGCACCTGTGCATGGGATGCCTGTGGAGAAAGGCTAGAAGAGGGTGTTGGAGCCCCTGGAAGTGGAGATATGGCCACTGTTAGGTACCATGTGGGTGCTGGGAATCAAACCCAGGTCCTCTGCAAGAGAAGCCAATACTCTTAACCTCTGAGCCATCTCTCCAGTCCCAATGTTGTCCTGTGTTATAGATACTTAAGTGTTAAAATTATCTTTACTGTCTTATCTCCATTCCTATATATATGCTAAGTGTCACTAAGATTCATATTGTTTCCTCAACATATCAGCAGAGAACCTAGTACCTTTCTTCTAATGTGGTCTCCATGGTGTTAATATGCATGAAAGGTAATAAATGAACAGTTCAGTAAGCAAATGTGAGACATTCTGCAACATTTTTAGTTTCTTAAACTAAATCTGATACTTTCTTAAACTAAACCTGATACTTCCATAAAAGATTTCAACAAATATAAGAAATGTTTTATACTTTATTTATTCATTCCTTTTTTGAGACAGGGTCTCCCTGTGGCCTCAGCTGTCCTGGAACTCACTATGTAGGCCAGACTAGCCTCGAACGCACAGAGATCTGCCTGCTTCTACCTCCGGAGTGATGGGATTAAAGGCATGGGCCACCAAGCCTGGCTTAAGAAATATGTTTTATGCTTTATAAAAGTTTAAAAATTCATATCCCTTTTAAAGATGAATCTTTGTTTATGCCTTTCCCCGCCACCAGGCAGTCTTGCTCTGTAGCCCAAGCTGGGTCTCAAACTTCAGAAACTGGAATGAAAGGCATGTACCAGCATATCCAGCTCAATGCATGCAGCCTCAGATAAGATGAACTTTTCAATTTTTGGGGGGGTCTTTTTGAGACAAGGTCTCCCTGTATTCCCTGTAACCCTAGCTGGCCTTGAAAACACAAGAGATTTGCCTGCCTCTGCTTCCTGAGTGCTGGGATTAGTTACTAGCTTAGCTATCTATTTTTTGATGACAGTGATTTCTTATAGGAACTGCAAGAATGTGCTGGAAATACCCATGAACTAGAAATTAAATTAGTGCTAGGACTAATGGCATGTCCCACTACTCCCAGCTTAGGAAGAACTTTCCAAAGGGAGAAAAAAAAAAAAAAAACAGCTAGGTGGAAAAATAAAAAAGCAAAAGCACTAGACCTGTGAACCAACAAATGATATCTGTTCTTCTTGAAAACAAAAATAAATTACGGTTTTGAATTTTTTTTAGACTTAATTTTCCAAATTTCAATTTACTTAGAAGTAGCAGAAAAATTTTTTTTTAAATTTTATTATTTTTATTTTATGTGCATGCATGTAATGCCCGCTTGTAGGTAAGTGCACCAGTATCATGCAATGCTCACGGAGGTCAGAAGAGGCTGTTGGATCTCTGCAAGAACAACCAGTGTTCTTAACTGCTGAGCCATCTCTCCAGAACAGAAAAAAATATTTTAAATAAAGGGATTACTGTACAATGGTATAGGATGTAGAATTTATCCAAATTTCAGAAGTTAAATAATGAGCAAGAATTTTTAAAACTATTATTTATAAAGCAATTCATTGGAGTTCAGCATTCTGTTGAGAATGTGACTTCATGAAAACAGTCCTAGCCTACTGGCAAAAAATGTCCATGTTTTCTAAGCATGTTTTCTAAAATGCCTTAGGCAAATTTATATACATGAGCATACCTTTTGGAGGCTGCAGAAGCCTGGAATTTTCAAACAAATGCTTCTTTTTGATAGGTAAGATGACTGTGTCTTTCAGATCTGTAATGACATCATCTAAACCTGCTATATCACTCCAAGTAACCTGCAAAAATTAAGGTCAACATGAATTTCACAACTTATGCACTCAAAAACAAAAAACAAGAACAGCTTATTCTGACTAAACTATTTGTACTAGCAATACAGTTTATAAAGAATACCTCTTTTCTTTGTGGGAATATAGAATTTTGGTACACATAAGGAGAGAGAATACATGAATAGATCCGTGTGAAAACACTAGACTATGTTTCCAGGAATCTTTCTGGCAGGTAACACTGCACATGCTATCACAACTTGTCGATATAAAAATGATGTCTTCTGATAACACTTGGAAAGAACTTGGAAAGAGTGTACCTGGCTTTTTCCAGACTTTGCCCCATACCTTTTGCTGCTGTCCTGTATCTACTTAGTATAACAAATCACATCTGAGTGCCATGACATGCTAAGTCCCCTTGACTCCACCTAGAGACCCAATAAACCTAGCCATGGTCTTCCAGATCTTGACATAGAATGGTAGACAAAAAAATCAAAGTAAAAAAGAAAAACTTGAAGCTACATACATGCATGTTAAGAGGGTCGACTAGATGAGCAGCAATACTCATTTCATATTCAGAAAGCTTCACATTTTTCACGCCAATCTGCTTCATCAGTTTTTCTGCCTACGAAGAAAGTAACTTTAATTTGATATTTAGATACCAGCACTTCAAAACAGACGAATTCTGAACAGCAATAAGCAGATGATGTAAGAAATCCTCCAGGGCTTTGTGAACCCTTAGGTTTCAAAAGAAAAAAGACTTCATTTATGGAAGCCAGGGCAATTTAACCAGCTCTTGAGAAAGGAAAAGCTGGGCATGGTAGTACATGCCTATAATCCTAGTACTTGAGAGGCTGAAGCAAGAGGATTGAGAAATGGGAGCTAGGCATGGTGGCACATGCTTATAGCACTGGAGAGGTTGCGAGGTTGAGGACTAAGAAAGAGCCAGGCCTGGTGGAATACAAGAAACTTGAGGATACTCTGTCTTCTTTCCTAGAAGGATTATCATGACAGATGAGACCTCAAGATGAAACCCCAAAGAATTACAAATACCAAAAAATGGATAGCTGTAGCTTCTTTCCCTAAGTTAATAAATGATCTGAAACAGATATCCAACTTCCTTCAAATTATCAAGGTATCTACAGTTAAATGTTTATACATACTTACTTCCAAACTGTTTTAGCTAATGTTGAGGGTCTAGACAACTGAAGATAATAAAAGTAACTTGAAATAATATACAGTATGTATTCTTAAAAGTAGGCTAAAACTAGCTTTAAATCTGTAAGTTCCTGCATGACACAGGTGTACTTATATACACTTAGACAAAACATTTATATACATAAAAATTTTAAATTTAAGGGGGGGGGGGGGTAGAGAGACAGCTGAACATTTAAAGGTACTGGCTGCTCTTACAGAGGACCCAGGTTCAGTTCCTAGTACCCACATGGCAGCTAACAACCATCATAACTCTAGTTCCAGAGGCTCTAACAGTCTCTGCTAGCTTCTGAAGGCATTGCATAAAATGTGGTGCACAGACCTGCAGACAAAACACTCATATACATAATCATACAAATAATAATAATTTAAAAAAAAAAAAAAACTGAAGCTAAGCAAAGCATGAACAAATAACCTGCCCTAGGGCTGTGAGATGGCTCAGGGGCTAAGAGCCCTTGCTGCGAAGCCTGTTAATCTGAGTTCAATGCCAGGAACCTACAGAGTGGAAGGAGAGATCTGACTCCTACAAGTTGTCCTCTGACCTGCACATGTGTGCCATAACAGTGGCATACACATATACAAATACACAAAATAAATATTAAAAAATTTAAGTAATAATAATAATTTGCTCTGGATGAAAACTTAGCAAATGGAAGAGGCAACAATTGAATTCAAGCTGCCAAACTCTGGGATTACATTCTAACCACCTCACACATTTACCTTGGTTTTTCCATATAATATGAAGTTTGTGATTCCTAGTCTTCAAAACTATACCTATCAGGTCAAAATTTCAATTAAGTAAACGTTTTAGAAATTAAGATACTCTGATAAATCATGTTTAAAAATATATATTACCAGGTAGCCCAAATAAAAGGACATGGCAGAGGGAGCTTTTCCTTTGTGCCTGCTTGCCTTCACTCTCACTGGTGAGTTTATCTTCTGGGTGTGGCATTCCTTGGCTGATATTAGAACCACCTTCTTCAGGTTCCAACTAGACTGAAGACCAGCAGATCTCTAGGAATCCTCCAGGCCTTCAACACAAGATTGAAACCACAGAGACATCCAGCCTTGTGGACAACTACCAGATTCTCAGCCTCTCCAGTGTGGCCCAGCCATTGTCACATTACCTCCACCCTATCCTGTCCATTGGGTGACCCTGTTGCCCATGCTGGACAGCCTTGGGGCCCTGTAAGCCCAAGCCTCAAAAAAAATCCCTAATTCGCTTGAGTAGCTCACCACTGCAACTAGGGGCCAGAGGAAGACTCCACCTAGGTCAAGCCGGAAACTGCGTCCAGGATCATCCCAAGTTCCTAAGGGGTGTTCTTCCCATGGCACCTCTCAGTGCAGCAGCTGGAAGAACTAGTCACTATGGCAAGTAAGGAGGACTTCAAGGTTGAGTCCAAGGATGCCAAAGTGAAGGCGGCCTTTCAGCAGAAAAATGCAGTTTTCCTATGTGTATGCCAAAAGTGCCAGTATCAAGAATGAAGGCATGAACTGGCTCCACATGGCATTCTGTGTGGATGCAGTGCCCTTCAAAGCACAGGCAGCTCTGATATTCAAGAAGTGGATCAAGGACATGGCGCAGGTAACCAAAGTTCTGGATAAGGTCCTGATGGCCATGGATTTGCAGAAGGTACCTGCAGTGATGGACATGTATGATCAGTTCACACAGAACCTCACATGCCCACATGGGTGGTAGAGGATTCTGTGACCTTGGCTACCATGCTGACCATACTTGAAGAGCACATAGATAGGTTTCTTGTGAAGACTGCCAAGAAAAATGGCCTGGATGTCCTAGACCAGCTCAGCCACCTTCCAGAGGATGCCTCTGTTATGGGTGAAAGCTTTGGGTGCAGTCAAGAGAATTAGCTCAGATCCAGCCTAGGTTAGCTACCCTGAGGAATTAGTGTCCCCTTGGCTGGTGCTGCCTTCTCTGCCCTGTGATGCTCTGGAGGTTTCTACCCGACTTCCGCTGCCTGCCACTCCAACGTTATGGCTTCTTCCCAGGCTTTCCAGAGCTCCTCAATTTCTTGAATGTGAGGCCCCTGTCTCCTGTCTCTGAACATATAGGTGCTTCCCCTAGTTGCTGCCTTTCTGCCTTCTCTAAGGGAAAGTCAGAGGGGCTAGCAAAAGGAACCTGGGACAGTCATCTTTGATTGTGGGCACATCTTTTGTCCCTAGAGGTCCAGTTCCAAGGGGAAAAGGAGAAGCAAAAGGGGAGTGTGGATCCTCAGGACACATAGAATGAAACGGAGAATCAGCTTTATTATTTAAAATAACTTTTAAAAATTTACCATTTTCATCCTTCTATTTTCCTAAAATGCTTCTGATTATATAAAATTTTGATGTTTGTCAAGGATACGCCTAACAGGAAATTCACACCACTGAGCGTATGTTTATAAACTGGTTACATTAGGAGAAACGTGATTATGTTCCAGCCTTTTTAAAAACATACTATGAGCCACACTGGGCAGTCACAGAATATTTATCTACCTATTTATCTACCTCTATAAAATCATCAATTGAGGGGCTGGAGAGATGGCTCAGCAATTAAGAACACTGATTGTTCTTGCAGAAGACCCAGGTTTGAATCCCAGCACCCACATGGCAGCTAACAACTGTCCGTAATTCCAGTTCCAGGGGATCTGATAGCCTTTTCTGTCCTCCACCGGCATTGCACAAGGGTGCACTTACCTACATGCAGGCAATACACGCATATACATAAAATAAAAAATAAAAAATAAAAAATCGCCGGGTGTGGTGGCGCAGGCTTTAATACCAGCACTTGGAAGGCAGAGGCAGGCGGATCTCTGTGAGTTCAAGGCCAGCCTGGTCTACACAGTGAGTGCCAGGACAGCTGGGGCTACAGGGAGGACTCTGCCTCAAAAAGACCAAAAAAAAAAAAAAATTGAAAAAACCAGTCTTTTCCAGATTCCTTTATTCAATACATATACCTTCTCTTTCAATGTGTGCAGAGTTTTGTGTAAGCTATTAAAGGGATCCTATTTTAGCACTAGGAAAGACATAAATTTATTCCTCCCACGTATGCTCTTTATAGGCAAGACTCTAAAACAGATTTCAACTAAGGACATTCTGCAATGTCAGAAATACTTCTGGTTATCACATTTGAGAGTGAGGGTCAGCATCTAGCCAGTCAAGGTAGGGATGCCACAAGCTATTCCATGAGACACAGAAAGGCCCTTTCCATATCCTGAAGAATTACCAGGCCTAAAATGTCAACAATACCCAAGTTGAATACACCCTTCTTTTTACCTTATTGAAAATAGTACTGTATGCCACAACTTTTTCTTACTTTAAATAATAGCCTTTATATAAGGAATTTTCTAAATAAAAATAATTATATAGTGGGCCAATAAGATGGCTCAGTGAGTAAAGGCGCTTGTTGCCAAGTCTGACGAACTGAGTTTGATTCCCAGGATCTAAATTTGAAAATATTGTTTAGTTTACAGAAACAGAAAATGTTGTAATATTGAGTTTACCAGAATCTTTTTTGAGACAGGGTCTCCCTGTAGTCCCAGCTGGCCTGGAACTCACTATATAGACCAGGCTGGCCTTGAACTCACAGAGATCCGCCTGCCTCTGCCTCCCAGGCAGATAAGGAATTCGTTCAAGAGTCAAAGAAATTAAAATAACTGCCAAGGTTATATAACTAGAAAGTACCACTAGAGTTCAAACCCTGACTTGTCTCATTTGAAAGCCCAGTCCTGAAGCAGCAACATCTCTCATTTGAGAGAGCAAAACACTGTAAACAAATAAATAAAAATACCCCCCAAAAAATGCCTTCTAAGAACCTCCACACTGTGTCCTAGGAACAAGTTATCCAATTGTCTAGTTTTAACACCTTTAGTGAGTCTCTAATTCTAAACCAGTTTAAACAGAAAACAAGAACGACTGGGAAAAAAATGCTTTGTCTTTTACAGTGTGATGATGATCACATTTTCTCCTCATCAATGTTTGTTCATTTTTTTCTTTTTCTTATTTTTGGTTTTGTTTTTGAGACAGAGTTTCCTTTTCTAGCCGCACTTGGCCTGGTACTCACTATGTAGACCAGGCTCACATGAATCTCACAAATTAAACAGCTGAGATTAAAGGCATGCACCTCTGTGCCTGGCTTCTTGTTTTTTTAAGGGGGGGGGTTGTCTCTCCAAGTGGTAGTTATCACTGGTGAGAAATGATGGGGGAGAGAAATGATGGGGGAAGACAGGGGTCAAAGAGAAGAAATTACTTTTTACTGTATACCTATCTTTTAACTGCTTCACACATTTTACCCTTTTAGACCATTTCATTGCTCTTTTATGTTTTTCCTTCTTTCCCTTTACTTAAATTATGATCATTAAAGTAAGAAGCAGGGTAGGAAATACTGAGTATTTTTGCTTGGAGTGAAGAGGGAAATGGAAGGAAAGGTCAGCAGAAAAGGAATATTATCAAGTAACACTCATTCCCTCAGGTTCCGTATAGGACTCGGAAGACTAAGTGTCATTTTAGAAGAATTTAGGAAAGTACACAAGGAGCTACAGAGATGGTTCAGTAGTTAAGGTTACTTGCTCTTGTAGAGGACATGGAGTCAGTTCCCAGTACTCACAAAGCAACTCACAACTATTTGTAACCATAGTTCCATGGGATCTAATGCCCTCTTCTGTCCTGTGGGCCACTGTATGCATATCGTGCACTTAAACGTATACAGGCAAAATACACATAAAATAAAAATAAATAATAAAGCTTTTTAAAGAGTACACAAGATATTAGGAATGAAAGCACAAATTAACAAGTCAGAAACAAGGACATCCTCATGGCTCAGTGCTCCAATTTTAGTGTAGGTACAAGAAATACCAATAAGCTGTGCATTTGAAGAATTAACAAAGAATCTGAGTAAGTATCATTACAGATTTAAATATAAGCCAGTATCATTAATACAAACCCTACAAACACCTTTTTCTAGATGTACGGACACAGCAATTTTCTTTTATGGTTACTGTATTTCTTTCTTCTGATTGTACTATGTTTTTTGAAAGATACTGGGTAAGATGGGCTTGTATTTTGGTATTCTTCTTTCTATTCTTTCTTTCCTTCCTTCCTTCCTCTTCTCTTCTTGTCCCTTCCCTCCTCCCCCTCCTTTCCTTTTCTTTTCTTTCTTTTGCAGTACCAGGAATTGAACTCAGGGATTTGCCCATGTTAGATTAAGTACTCTGCACTGAGCTCAATGGTGGTCTTCTATACTTGTATATAAAATACAATTTTATTTCTTTATTTAGAGACAGGGTCTCAACTATGTAGTCCTGGCTGGCCTGGAATTTACTATGCAGACCTGGCTGGCCTCGAACTCACAGAGATCCTCTTGCCTCTGCCTCAAGAATGCTAGAATTAAAAATGTGCACCACAACACCTGGCCTTTCATCTAGATTCTCTTCTTTTATATTCCTGATAAAAATATTCTACAAAGAGGGGCTGGAGAGATGGCTCAGCAGATAAGAACACTAACTGTTCTTGCAGAAGACCCAGGTTCGTATCCCAGCATCCACATAGCAACTAACTGTCCGTTAACTCCAGTTCCAGGGGATCCAACAGTCCCTTCTGTCCTCCACAGGCATTGCACGAAATGGGTGCATTTACCTACATGCAGGAAATACTCATACACATAAAATAAAAATAATAAAATATTTTTTAAAATATCCTAGAAATAATATTCACAGGAAAATACTGTATTTTCATTTTTTCCTGATGTTTATACAGTAAAAAAAAATGACTTCATAAGCCAATACTTTTTTTTGGTCTTTTTGAGCCACCACATCCGGCATAAGCCAATACTTTTAAGGAATAATAATATTAAAGAGATGTATCAATGAATTTTCACCTAAGTTTTAGATTTGTATTTTCAGCTTGGGGAAAAAAAAATACTTGCTAGCATAAGAAAAATGGTCTTCATACATTTCAAACATACCTGTTTCTGAGCTTCTACTTTCTGCTTTCTGGTTGGATCAATTGCATCTACCATCCATTTGATCGTAAAGTATGTTACTGCACCAAATATCGTTAAACGAAAAATTAAACCAACAACTTCATTCCGACTCAATGGACGAGAAAAGGCTTCAGCATGTACCATCTTGACAGTTAACCTTAAAAAACAGAGAGAAAGGTCACTAGGCAAAAATGGTATTTGTTAAAATTAGGAGACAAGCCGAGCATGGTGGCGCACGCCTTTAATCCCAGCACTCGGGAGGCAGAGGCAGGCGGATCTCTGTGAGTTCAATTGAGGTCAGCCTGGTCTACACAGCGAGTTCCAGGACAGCTGGGGCTACAGGGAGACCCTGTCTCAAAAAGACCAGAAAAAAAAATAAAAATAGGAGAGAAAACCATTATCTATCTTTTAATAATATGTTTCATCGAAGGAGAGATTCCTTTTAAATGTTAAATAAATACATTTAAAGCTTCTCTTAGAAACTGAAGTAAATTAGATACAAATTTATTTGGTAATAGGATGAATAATATTTTAAAAGTATAGTAGACATATTGTTACCCTTTTAGCTTTTGGGGTTTTTTTTTGTTTGTTTCTCTTTGCTTGTTTTTTCTGAGACAGGGTTTCCCTGTAGCCACAGCTGGAACTCACTATGTGGACCAGGCTATCCTCAATCTCACAGAGATCCACCTGCCTCTGCAGGTAAAAATATTTTGAAGACAGGGACTCAGTACTTAGCCCTGGTTGGCCTACAACTCACCATGCAGACCAGCCTCTCAAATTCACAAGAGATCTGTCTATCTCTGTCTCCTGAATGCTGGGATTAAAGGTGTATGCCACATGCTCAGATCAAGTAATTGTTTTTGATAGTGAAAAGCAAATTATGAATTAATTGATTCACTTTTCCCCCATATCTACTTTTAAAGTTTTTCAAAACCTGCTTGAATTTAAGCATGTCATTTTCTCAATTAATAAATGACATTAAAAATTTTAAATTGCCGGGTGTGGAGGCAGAGGCAGGCGGATCTCTGTGAGTTCAAGGCCAGCCTGGTCTACATTAGTGAGTTCCAGGACAGCTGGGGCTACAGGGAGACCCTGTTCCAAAAAGACCAAAAACAAAAAAATAAAATTTTAAATTATCCTTTGCTTCCAATAACTAAGTGACTATGAAGAGAACTTTCAAATTTTTTAAACAAAGAAAATTATAATAGGGGCTGGAGAGATGACTCAGTGGTTAAGAGTTAAGAGTATTGACTGTACTTGCAGAGGACCCAGGTTCAATTCCCAGCACCCATATGGCAGCTAACAACTCCAGTTCTAGGGGAAGCCAACACCCTCTTCTGACTCTGAGGGTACTGCACAACACAGGTGCACTTACACACATGCAGGCAATATAATCATAAAGATAAAATTAAAAAAATAATAGAGCCAGGTGTTGTGGCACATGCCTTTAATCCCAGTACTTGGGAGGCAGAGGCAGGCAAATCTCTGAGTTCCAGGCCAGCCTTGTCTCCATCATGAACCCAGGCCAGTGATGGCTACAGGGAGACCCTGTCTCAAAAAGACCAAAATAATAATAATAAATATTTTTAATTACCATAATACAGAAAATCCTTTGCCAACTGTGTATCTAAGAAGTGATTAATATCTAGTATCTAGAATCTATAAGGAGCTCAAAACATTAAACACATACATATATACACACACACATCACCTAATCACTAAACGGTCTACAGGCAGCTCTCAAAGGAAGAATATGAATGTCCAATAAATATTTGAAAGTACTCAACATCCTTGGCAGGGAAATTCAAATTAACACTGTATTAATATTCCTATCTCAGAACAATCAGAATGGCAAATACTAAGAAAACAAACAACAATAAATGCTGGCCAGGATTCCAGGAAACAGAACCTTTCCTTATACAATGCTAGTGGGGATGCAAACTGCTGTAAATCACTATGCAAACTAGGCGTGGTGGCACACAGTTTTAATACCAGCACCAGGGAGGAGGAGGCAGGCGGATCTCTGTGAAATCGAGGCCAGCCTGGTCTACATCCGTGGTTCCAGGTCACCTGGGGCTACAGGGGAGACCCTGTTTCAAAAAACTAAAAAAAAAAAAAAAAAAAAAACCTAAAAAAATCAGTACGGCGGTCCTACAAAAATGTGGACTACCATGAACCAATTATACCATAAAACCCAAGGATTCTAAGACAGCACAGCACATCTGAGAGACTTTTGCACAACTATGCTTATTGTTGCACTATTCAAAATAGCCAAGACATGGAACTAGCCTAGGTGCTGATCACCAGATGAATGGAGAAAATGTGGTACAATGGGATTTTATTCAGTTATAAAGAATGAAACTATCACAACTGTAGGAAAACTGATGGAACTGGAGATTTCCTTGAGTGAAACAAGCCAGACTCGGACAAATAGTCCATGTTCTCTAGTGGGGACTCTAAATTTAGATATATATGTACATTTATATACGTAGGACATGAGAGTAGAAAGGGGACAATGACAGGGGAGAGGTTTACAGGGAAAGGGGAGGGGGAGCAAGACAGTTTGGGCTACACAGTGGGATCCAGTCTCAAAAAAACAGAAAAAACACACAAAAAGGTTACACAGGAAGACCCTGTCACAAGCAGAATACAGCTCAAGAACAGAAGAGAAAAGGAGGTGATGTGAGTGAGTCCTATTCTTTTTTTTAAAAAAAGTCTCTGGTAGCCCCAGCTGGCCTGGAACTCACTATGGCCTTGATCTCATAGAGATCCACCTGCCTCTGCCTCCCAAGTACTGGGATTAAAGGCATGTGCCACCACATCCAACTGATGTGACTACTTTTAAGCACAGTATCTTCCTGAACAATTTTAACAGGCTTACAGCATTCATTCCAGTGTCAAAGGCAATACCCACACCAAATAAACTCACTAGGGAGGGATGTCATCACTATCACATTTTAGGAGAGCAATCTCAGTACCCAACAATGCCATTAAGTCTTAGCAAAATCTCAGTACCCAACAATGCCATTAAGTCTTAGCAAAAGTTGGGGGGTGGGGGGAGGTCCCTAGGGTAGGGTACACATACACTACACTCACATAAAAGAAATCAGAATCTGGGGCTGGAGTGATGGTTCAGCGGTTAAGAACACTGGCTGTTCTTACAGAAGACCCTGGCTCCAACCCCAGCACCCACATGGGAGCTAACAACTGTCCATAACTCCAGTTCCAGAGGATCTGACGGACTCTTTTGTCCTCCATGGGCACTGCACGACATGGGTGCACTTACCTACATGCAGGCAATACACACATACACATAAAATAAAAACAAATAAAATATATATATAAAAAAAAGAAATCAGAATCTAGACAACTCAGCAATAAGTAATTAGTGGGTACTACATAGATGAATGTCCGTGTTCCTTTTAGCACTAAAATTGTTACTTTTCTCACTACTGCCAAATTAAAATGCTTTTCATCATCCTTTCTCTGGAATAGCTTCCACCTTTTAAAAAATTTTATTATTTTATGTGTATGAGTGTATTGCCTGCATGTAAGTGCACCTGTGTCATGCAATGCCCATGGGAGGGCAGAAGAAGGCCAAATTCCCCTAGAACTGGAGTTAAGGACTGTTCATAGCGGCCATGTGGGTGCTGAAAATTGAACCCGGGTCCTCTGCAAGAGCAGTCAGTGCTCTTAACTGCTGAGCCATCTCTCTAGCCCCATGTTCCATCTTTTTTCAATAATTGCAACTGAAGAAAAACCTTCCGTTCATTCAATCACCCACAGCTCTCTGCTACTAGCAGCCATTTACTTCACAATAATTACATTATTTAATTAAAAAAGTAACTAAACAACTTTATCATTTTGGATAAAGAAACTTCAGCATAGGTAACTCATTTAGTAAGCACTTACTGAACATCTATATAAAGGGCCTATTAAATTCAATGTACAATAATGCCTAATATGGCCAGGCATGGTGGCGCACATCTTTAAACCCAGCACTTGGGAGACAGAGGCAGTTGGATGTCTGTGAGATCAAGTCTAGCCTGGGCTACAAAGTGAGTTCCTAGTCAGATGGGGTGACAGGGAGACCCAATCAGAAAATTTTAAAAAATTTAATTTAAAAAAATGCCTAATATAAAATTACTCAAGAATACACTGCCCAGATATAGTAATTATAAAGGGGAAAAAAGGAACTTAGGTAGCCACCAAAGTATAATCCCATGAAACAAATCAGTGTGCTTTCTTCCATCAGTTTGGATCCCCAAAATGGGATACATGTTACTCCTCAAAGCATGTGAAAATTTGACTTCTTCAGTGTTTGTTGCAACAAACTTGAAAACAAAGTTGATAATGACCCAGTAAGCAGGATAAGGACTTTGTTAACCTGTGAAAAGTCAGGACACTGCAATAAAAAGTTTTTGTTTTTTAAAAGTTTAAGTCAGGGGTGGGTACAATAGTGGCAAAAGCCTGTAATCCAGAAGACTAAGACAGGAGGATTTCAAGTTCAAGGCTACTTGGGATACATAGGGTTTAAGACTAATCTGGGATACTTTTATAAAAATGCCCCTGTCTCAATAACAGCGTGTTAAAATTGCCATCTTCTGGATATTCACTGAACTACAAGAGTGAATTAGAGTTTATGGGTCGTTCCAAAGCACATCTCAAAGTCATCAAAATAGTACAATTTTTAATCCTTTTTTTTGGGGGGGGGTCTCCCTGTAGCCCCAGCTGTCCTGGAACTCACTATGTAGACCAGGCTGGCCTTGAACTCAGAGATCCGCCTGCCTCTGCCTCCCAAGTGCTGGGATTAAAGGCATGCGCCACCACGCCCAGCTTAATCCTATTTTTGTAAAACAATCAAGACACACACCTTAAAACCCTTGTGTATATATCATCCTATTCTGATATTAACCGCAACAGAGTACAAATGTAAGACTACTACTGCATTACTGAAAGTCTATCTTTTTAAATGATTTCAAAATTCTGAAATGAAAATGAAACGTCTTGCTTTGTAGATCATGACTGAAAATACTTCACAGTCTCCATAGATGAGATATCCACCTATCTATCATTTACCCGGCCTGACACAGCTGCAACCTAAAGCCGTTACAGTACCCTACCACTACAAAAAAGTGTACGTTAAAAGCTTCAATTGTAGATAGAGCAGGGGGGAATGTATTTCAATTTTGCATAAAACACTAAGTTCAACAAAAAACGCACGAATGTGTATATACACAGTGCCGTATACAACTAAGAAATACCAATAATTCAGTTAGCTTTAGACAAATATAATTCTAAATCGCTTCGTTTTAAGGAGCTCTGCATTTCAAGGAGGAATCTTGGAAATCATAATACCTTATCTATGAGCAATGTATCGGCACACTAACCGCGCAGTCTGGAGTTTATACTGTTGGTATTTAAGTCACTGCAGTGTTCTAAGAATGGTCCCAGTTCTGCGGCCATCAAGGCCTTCCGGACACAACTTGTGACAATGAAAGCCTGCCAACCTCCTCCTAGAGGACAGTTATTATTAACATCATCCTGGGTGAAAGCGTGCCCGGCCCAGAAAAAGCACCTCCGCGCGCGCACAAAGAGGCAGAAGAGGGGCACGGCTCCCCAACCGCCTTCGGTCACGAGCTGGTCCTCAGGTCACGCAGAGCAACTCCAAGCTTCCGACAGTGACCACGCCGCCTACAGGAGATGGCCAGGGGAGGGGCCCACGTCGCGGGGCCAGCAGGAGACCTGCGGGCTCGGGCGGGCCAGGAGCCAAGGCGAGGCCCCGGACGCCCTTGGAGGTTAATCCGCTGGTTGCGGCGCGGCGCGGGCGAGGCAGCGGGGGTGTGACGGCCAGGGCTGGGCTCCCTAGGGGAGCGCCTGGCCCTCGAGGACCCCAAGGGATCCTGCACGCACCTGACAAGCCCCGCGGGAAGCCGTTACTCACCCGAGGTAGGACCACAGGCGATAGCAGCCGTTGCCCGGCCTCGCACAGGAAGGAAATGCGGCCTGGGAGAGAGCGCTTCCGGCCGGAGCCCCGCCTCCTCACTCGGAGCATGCGCGGCCGGCCGCGGAGCACCTGTCTGGTTAGATTCGGCCTCAGCGGTTGGGACAAGGTCGGCTACATCTCGGACCCCGTACTTTATTACCTGTGGGACCGAGGCTTTTCGAGGATGCGAGCGGCACTCGCCACGACGCCCAGTTCAGCTCCTGAGTCGCGCCGCACAGGATCCCTGTGTGGCTCTCGAGCTGCGCGCAGCCCTAAGTGAGGCGCTTTCTAGAGCAGGCGAAAACACGCTTCCTACCTAGACACTGGTCCACCCGCCGCGGGAGCCCTCGGGCTGCTGTGCCGGCACGCAGGGCCTCCCCTGGCCATCTGCCTTTCTGTTTCCTGGGTGAGCTCACTCCCTGGTACTGACAGACAACCGGAGGTGGCGCCCGAAAATCCGCTGTGCTTGAGCGACCCCCATCAGGCATGGGAATGACTTTTCTTTTGCCCCTTCCCTCTTGCTAAATGAGGGACCCAAGGAACAAGATGAATAGACACTGTCCGAATGAGAGAAACATCGCTTCTTTAGATACAGTCGGTGAGATTATGAAAGAATAAAACAGACTTCCCCTCATATTTTCTTGGGGAAAGCAGTTTGAGTCTCTCTGTTGGCTAAGGAATTATGCACCCAAGCTGGGTTTGGTGTCTCGTGCCTATAATCCCAGAATCGGGGTACCTAAGGAAGGGGACCGCTGGGTGTACCCTGACTAAGCAGCAAGACGCTGCCAAGAAAGAAGAAAAAGGAAAGAAAGAAAGAAAGAGAGAGGGAGAGAGAGAGAGAGAGAGAGAGAGAGAAAGAAAGAAAGAAAGAAAGAAAGAAAGAAAGAAAGAAAGAAAGAAAGAAAAGAAAAGAAAATCTGCAGCCTGTTTATTGAATTAACAAATGGTGCTGTCAGTAGCTGTGGGGAAACACAGCCCAGCAGTGCTGCCAGTAGCCCTGAGGGGTGCCTCCTTAAGGGACTGTATTAGAGTTCTCTAGTGAAAGAGAATAGGAGGAATGGATACATATTAAAAGAGGATTTATTAGATTGGCTTACCCAATGTAGTAAGTAGTCCAATAGCTGCTCAGTCCATGTGGCTGGGTGCCTCAGCAGTTCCAATCTCAAAACCAAAAGCTTTGAGAATTCCTGGAGAACCACTGATCTTCAGTCTGCACTGGAATACTAAAGAATCTAGGTTCTGATCACCGAAAGACACCAGCAGCAGCATCAACAGCGGTAGGGGCAGCCAACGGTAGAACCCACCAGCAGATGTAAAGAGTAGGCAAAAAGCTTTTCTGTGCGACTTCCTTATATCCGGGCCAATATCTGGACTACCCACATTTAGCATGTCTTTCCCATTTCAATCACCCTGATCAAGAAAATCCCTCACAGGTGTGCCCAGTGACTCGATGCATGAGTGACTCTAGATCTTGTCAAGTTGACAATATTAACTATAACAGGGCTCGCCACTCAGATATAACCAGATCCTTGACTATAAAACAAGAATTTCAGGAGGAGTAAGAGTAAACCTAAGTTAATGGGCTTATTAAGTAGAGATGGAATACTGTTTCAGGTTTAAGCATGGGGAGACAGAAAAAGGGAGAAGGGCTCAAGGTATGGATGCAGTTTTCGACTATATGTTACTAGTATGTAGCATAAAATTATATAGTATACATAAATTATATATATATTTCTAACATCAGGTTTCTATGTTACATTGTTCAAATGATATAATTTACAACAGGGTTTAAAAATTAAAGCTAGCGGGGTGTGGTGGCGCACACCTTTAATCCCAGCACTTGGGAGGCAGATCTCTCTGAGTTCAAGGCCAGCCTGGTCTACATAAAAAAAAAGAAAAAAGAAAATCCTTTGTAGTAGCCATAACTTGAGAATTATTCGTTTTTTAAAAGTTATGTTTATTTGTGTGTCACTATGTGAGTGTAGCCATGAGTTGTATGGGTGCTGGCAGAAGCCAGAAGAGGGTGTTGGATCTGCTGGAGCTGGAGTTACAGGCAGTTTTTGTTGGGAACTGAACTCAGGTCCTCCAGAAGGACAGTTAAGTGCTCATAACTTCTGAGCAATCTCTCCAGCCTCCATTTTCTAATCTTATAGAAGCAACAATGATGTAATTGTGGAAAACAAAGACTGAATACTTTCCTAATGCCATTCTTCAGCATGTATCAAATTAGTATATCTCTGGATTGTACTGTGTTAGAAAGTTTGGTTTCAAAATTGCTGTTTCAGTTACTGACTTGAGTTTCATTTAAAAGAAATCATTAAGCCAGGCATGGTGATACATGACTTTAATCCCAGGATTTGGGAGGCAGAGGCAGGAAGATCTCTGAGTTTGAGGGCAGCCTGGTCTACATAGCAAAAGAAATCATTAGATGAATTTTGGCTTGAGATTAGGACAGAATTTCCAACCATTTCTGAAATAGCCCTACACCTACTTCTACCATTGTGAACTATATATGTATGTGAAAAATAGTTCTCAACGTTGAAAATTATAAAATCAAAATATCAATGAACTCTGAAAATCACTGACGATATGCTACATCCTGCGGTCTTAAATTCTTCAGTTTAGGGTTTAATTCTTTATGTGAAAATAATTTACAAGCATATCCATCTCATTTGTATGCAAAATTCCTTTAGTCTTTAATAAATGGTAAAATTGAATATATTTTAAGATAAATTTCTTCATGATTTTTTTTCAATTTTTTTTTTTTTAATTTACATGCCTATTTTGTATACCTATTTATCAGGCAGGTCATGTGAAAATTTCTCTGGTGAGAAGGGGTTGCAAGCAGAACAAGTTTAAGAAACCCTGCTCTAGGATAACCTTATCTGCCAGTAAGGAAAATGGACTGAGAATTTCAGGAAGGCAGTGGATTCCCACCATTTACTTAGTAAACTGAATGCAACTAGCACCTTACCTGCCTGTCCCCCAGGACTGCCTGAGATTAAGGATGATTCTGAAATGTAGGACTAGCAAGCCTCGGGCAAATAAGGAATTGATCATTGGGCATGGTGGCACATGCTTGTAATCCTGGTGAGTACCCAAGGTAGAAAGACCAAGAGTTCAAGGCCAACATGAGCGACATAGTGAGACCCTGTCTCAAAAGGAGGTGGAATTGATCATCCTAATAAGGGAACCCTAACCAAATCTTATGATGAAATGGCCTTCCTAATGCAATTATATCTAACCACCATTCACCTACTAATATCAGCAAACTGCTGAATGAAAAAATGGAGGCTGACCATAATGAGTCAATATGATCCAAAATAAATGCTGCTGCTCATTTCTCTTTCCTGTCTCTTGGACCTTATGTTTTCATTTAACAAATTCTTAGGAAATTTCTTGTATCCGGGTCCCAAGACATGAAATTACTGATTTTACAAACCACACATGTTCATTTCCAGAAATCACTAAGTCAACAAGGTTCTTACAGGATAGAGTTCAGTGAGTGAATATATGATCTTTCATCCAAGAATAGCTAGTTCTGTATAATCCCTGGCAACACAAAATACCACATTTGGTCCACAGTAGGAGCTCAATACACAATTTGTTATGCATAATATTAATCAGGAATACATAACAGTTTTTTTTTTCTTTTTTACAAGATTCTGGGCTATCTGTCCTTTTTAATTATTTTGTGTATCTGTGTGTATGGGTAGGTATGTGAACATGCACTTGTGTGTGTATACGTGGAAGCCAGAGGTTGTTGCTAGGTGTTTTCTTCTATTGATCTCCACCTTGGTTTCTGAGACTGGGCCTGTCACTGAACCTGGAACCTGGAGTTCACTGATTCAGTAGACTGACTGACCAAAAATCCCAGGGATCCTCCTGTCTCTGCCTCTCCAGGATTACAATGGTACACCTCTGTGCCTGGCTTTTTGTCTGAATGCTAGAAATCTGAACTCAGATCCTTATAGCAGAATAGGAGGTACTTTACCAACAGAGCCATCTCCCCTCTTTTTAAGAATGAGAACCAAACAATTAATTTAGTAATTGTAGAAAATGTGTGTGTGTGTGTGTGTGTGTGTGTGTGTGTGTGTGTGTGTTTCTCTATACTAATATCTCTTGAAACAGTTGTGGCAGTTCTCCCTGATGGTACCAAGTTTTCTGCTTGTTAATGGGTAGGATAGATTAGTTAGCTCTGCAGCCAAGATCAATGCACTGGACACTGGATTGGAGGAGGAGATTCCTTAGATGAGATGTTGTTCTCAGATTTTATTGTAAATAGATTCCCATGAACAAATTGTCTAAATGCAGACTCTGGCTTTCAGGCTTAAAGCTTCCCATTCAAGGGTCCTAGACTTTGGCTCAATCTGCAGTTTTATTAAACACCCAAGATCTCTGTCTTATGAAGCTACATTGTAAAGACATCTGTCTCAAAGACAGGAAACATGCCCTCAGTAGACATAATCTGCCAACTCCCTGTGCTTGCATTTCTTAGCCTGCAGAACTGTAAGAGATGCATTTGTTTAACCCAGTTAATCAATACACAAACATCTGAGATCATTGAGGTGACTTTAAACCACAGTTTGAGGGGCTGGAGAGATGGCTTAGTGGTTAAGAGCCTTAGCTACTCTTGCAAAAGACCCAGGTTCCCTTCCCAGTACCCGCATGGCAGCTAACAACCATCCTTAACTCCAGTTCCAGGAGATCCTGTTAGTATCAACTGGTCAAAAATTAAAATCTCTAGTCTGGCTGTTGGAAGACTCACCTTTCCAGTTTAATGAGATACTCAACTTTTCCTGCCTGGAATCCTGGCCTCCTAATGCAGATCTAGGACATGAGACACATGTCATGGACATATGGCTCTCAGTTAAGTCCCATCTGCTTTTTGGAATTCTTCAGAAAAGCATGACTTCTCTCCTTTTCTTTGTGTTCCTTTTCTAAGCATATGTTTCCCAGTGCTTTGGGGACCCCAGCATCTTGTATTTCTTTCCTTTTTTTCTAAAGCTTCCTTCTCGCCATCGTGAGGCTGCTACTCCACCACACAT